TATAACACAAAAACATCAATTTATGAAATAAAAAGGAATGGATGATTTCGATTCAAAAAGTTTAAATACATCCCAACTATTAAGACAGGTAAGTTTTTATTAATTTTATCTTTTTTTTTTAGTTTTGTTTTGTTTTTAGGTAAAGTTTTATTTTTAATTAGGTCTTTATTATTTTTATTTATTTTGTTTATTTATTTATTTATTTATAAATACCTATTTCGATTTAGGTTTGTCTTTTATTTTTAAAAACACCCCCAAAAAAAAAAAAAAACATCTATAACAAATTTGTGATAACTTTTTTTAAATAGATAACAAAAACAAACAATAATTTATTTTAAATATTATTTAAAGATTATTTTGTTGTTTGTGGGAAAAGTTATTTAATAGTATTATTAAAATTTAGAATTAATTTGATTTCAAAGTCACAGTTTTTTGTGTGTTAATTGTATTTTTCTAATTGTTGCTTTTATTTCCTAAATTTATAAAGGATGGGGTATGGACATTTTTATTTTAAAAATTATTTTTTTAAAATTATTTTTTATTTATCTAAAAGATGAAAAATAATAATTTTATTATTTTTTAAAATAAAAATGAATAATTTAAATTCATCTATATCCACACTATGACTATAGTTACTACACAAAATAATTTTAAAAAATAATAATAAATAATCTCACTTACCGTTTCAACTATTCTTTTATTCAATTATAAAAAATAAAATTTATAAAAATTATTTTATAATACGCAATAGTAATAATAATAATAACAATTATGTGTTTTAATAAATAATAAAATAAAATATAACATCAATATAATTTTATTCATAATTCTATTTAGTTAAATTTAATTTTATTTAATTAAATTTAAATTATTTATTTTAATTTATTTTATTCTTTTTTTTCAATAATATTTTTTTTATTTTATTTATAATAGTTTTGTTTGTTTAAAATAATAATTAGTCTCAATAGAATTGTGTATAATAAATCAATATATAGCATTATATCAAATATTACATTTTAAATATTTTTTTTTTTTTTTTTTTTTTTTTTTTTCAATAAAAATAATAATAAAACTTTGAAAAAATTTTATTCTTTTTCATATTTTGGATTTTACAAAAGAAACAACTATACATTTACTAATGAAATTAAACTTAAAAAGATATCATATTCAGATAACTTATCTTCGGTTGGAAGCGAAAAAAGATCAAATCATCATAGACTAATCAATTCACAAGAAGGTGAAGGGGAAAATCATATTAATAATAGTATAATAAATGATTTAGATAACACTAACTCAGTAGCATCCATCTATGGTAGCGGAGGAAGTGTACCAAATCAACCACATCATCATCTAACTTTATCTTTACAACAACAACAAGAATTTCAACAAATACAACAACAGCGCCAACAATATAGTTTAGATTCTGAATATACTCCTCCAAATATATATATATTAGATCCAGATTTTTTAGAAAGAATTCAAAATAATCAAAAAAGTGAAGATAATAAAAAAATAGATACAACCCATGCAGATAATATCGATCAATTAAACAAAACAACTAAAACGATCGTTGAATTATCATCAGGAGTAACAAAAAATGAAACGACATATATAGAAACACCAGAAGGTATAAAAGCAACAACTGAATCAGAACTATCACCTGAAACAATAACAACAGTAGAAACAACCGATCTTGACAGCTATAGAGCATTATCCCCATTTCCAAGACAAAGAAGACCGCTAGAATCCAGCGAAGATGGCCATTTTAAATCATCACCTCTATTAATGATCCCAGAAAACGAAACTGAAAATAGAATAATGAGACAAGAGCTCTTATCGGAACTTTCAACATTAGACTCTTTTACAAAAATAACGAAGCCAGGTGAATTGTTTGGGTTCTGCGAATGCACATTACTTTATAATCATCTTACAATTACCAATTTAATTATTACTTCAAATTATTTAGTATTTTTACCACAACAACAAGTCTCAAAAGATTATGTTTTAGAAAACTATCTTCAAAAGAAGGGTGATTTTTTTTGGCGTAAATATTGGTTCGTTTTAACAACAGACTCAATCAGTTGGTATAAAAACTCTATTTTAAAAGAAACTCACTATCCAAATGGCACCATTTTATTATCAAAAATTGTAACAGTCGATAAACTATCTCCTGATGAAACAGGTAAACCTCTATGTCTCCAAATTATAACCAACACTCAAATCCATTTAATTCAATTCGATACAGAACCGCAACTAGATCACTGGTATGATGAAATTAATAGAATGCAAAAAAATTTGAAGATCTCAATTTCATTTAACGATATCGTTTCAATTGCAATGGAGTCAAATGCAGCATTGTTTTCAGATTCAATATGCCTTACATTAAAGAAGGGTGAAAATTGTTTAGTTACCCCAGTTTCGTCGTCAAATGAATTTTATAGTTTATTGGTTAAAATATGGAATAGAAATCGTGGAGTTCATATTACCGATTCAGAAAAACAACGTAAAATGCTCGAATTTCAAAAAACATTTAAACTATCTCAAGGTGTAAATATTATAACCGAAACACCATGCACATTTTATCAAGATGAAGAGTTCTCATATGATGGTATTTTATATGCAACAAATGACTCACTTTATTTCTCTTCTGAAGATAGTGTATTGATTATACCTGATACCGATATTTTAGCAATTACCATAGATAGAAAGGATAATAGAGAAAGCTTTAAAATATATACAACCGATTACGAAATACTTCACTTTGACAATATCGATAATATTGAAAACTTTTATAGTGCGATTACAGAACCATTAAAAAATAAAAATTCTAAAATATTCTTCAGCTCAATTGGCCAAGCACCACCAATCGCATCAATTAATAAACAAAAAACTTCAGGAATTAGATCATGGAAAATTCCCTTTGGAATTGCAAATATACCAATACCTAATTTTTCAATACCTATTCCAATTCCAAAAAATATACCATTTATGAAATCAAAATCGACAAATAACATTGATCCAATATCAAATAATAATCAACAACAACAGCAACAAACATCACAACTAACACAATCCCAAGCTATAGAGGACAATAATAATAATAATAATAATAATAATAATAATAATATTGATAATAGTGAAAATAGTAATAATTTAATAACAATACCAAATACCCAAACTCCTTCGTCAACATCACCAATTTTATCTTCAAGTACACCAACATTAAGTAGCATCAGCAAAACCAACATTAATAATTTACCAGAACATGAAAAAACAATTTTAATTCAAAAAAACTCAAATATAAATTCAAAGTTTCACGATATATTCCCATTGTTGCCATTAGATGAAACTGTTATAATGCATCAGCACTGCACCCTATATTATTATTCATATGATTCAAATGTTGAAGGAACTGTATATATAACAAAATCATATATTGCATTTAATCCATCCCCACTTTCAAAGCAAAACTTAAATCACTCACCATCAAGTACATACGATTCGGACTCAGACTCGGACTCGGATTCAGATTCAGATATTTCAGATGATTTCAATACCGACGATAACAATAATAATGTCGAATTAGATAAGAAATTAAAAGAAAGAGAGATTTTAATGAGAAAAGCTTTAATTCCATTTGAAGATATTGTCAGTATCACCAAAGAAAAATTTGCATTACTTTTTAATCAATGTGTAAAAATTCATACAAATGATCACAAGTGGATTTTTGGCTCATTAAACAATTTAAATAGTTTTTACAATTTAGTTTTAGATACATGGAAACAAATCCCATTAACAGAAAACGAAGGAATATTTACCCCATTAGAAAATGTCAAAATCAAAAATAAATTGGGTTTGCCTGCCGAGGAGAATTTAATCACTTGGTTCAACTGTACAAATTTTAAAGGTGCCCAATTAAAATATGGATTTTTGTATATTAGCAATCATCACATTTGCTTTAGATCCAAATTTGGGTTCCAAAAGAGAACAATTATTATTCCTTTCTCTCAAGTAATTGAAATTAAAAAATACTCTGTCTTAATCCCAAATGGAATTAAAATCACAACATCAGCCCAACAAGATTTCCAATTTGCCTCTTTCATCCACCGTAACAAAGTTTATCAAATTTTACATGATACCTGGTTAAAATCAAAAAAATCAAATAGTAATTTATCATCACCAGTTTTAGACTATCAATTAATATCACCACCGATTCAACCAGAACAACAACAACAATCATCACAAACTCCAAAACCTCAACCAATTCAATTAAACAATGAGCAACCATCAGTATTAAATGATGAAAAACAATTACCAACAACCCTACCAAAAATCAATTTAAGTTTACCAACATCCTCAACACCAAATACTCCATCTAGCTCATTTTTATCCCCAAGATCCCAAGTATCATCATCATCCATATCCTTAACCTCACCAACTTTAAATTCAGCAACACCAAATATTCAGTCTCCAACTCTTCCAATTCGTCCACTAAAAATTACAATTTTAACCATTGGCTCAAGAGGTGATGTACAACCTTATATAGCCCTAGCATTAGGTTTAAGAGATTATGGTCATTATGTTACATTGGCAAGTCACGAATTATATAGGGATTGGATTAGTAAAGATCATGGTTTGAACTATAAACATTTAGGTGGCGATCCTAAAGAGCTTATGGATCTTTGCGTTAGAAATGGTATATTTACACCAAGATTTATTAAAGAAGCGTTACACAGATTTAGATCATTTATAGATGATCTTTTATTAACATGTTGGGAAGCTGCACAAGGTTCTGAAGTTTTAATTGCAACACCTGGTTGCTTCGCTGGACCACATATTGCTGAAGCTCTTCAAATACCATTCTTTAACTCTTTTACTATGCCATTCACCAGAACTAGAGTGTACCCAAATCCATTTGCTCCTTTTGCAGCTCATCAAATGGGCGGTGTTTTCAACATAGCGACACATGTTATGATGGAAAAAATTCTTTGGCAACCAATAAGCGGCCAAATTAACCAATGGAGAACCGAAACCCTTAAAATACCAGCATGGAACTCATCTGTGTCAATCAATGAAACTATTAGAATGCCATATCTATATTGCTTTAGTAAATATTTGGTTCCAAAACCACCCGATTGGTCCGGAGAAATTGATATTACAGGGTACTGGGTATTAAAAAATTCTTCCCACGATGAACAAGCACCACAAGACTTACTAGATTTCTTAAAAAATGAAGAAGACCCACCAATTTATATAGGTTTTGGTAGTATTGTAATTGAAAATCCAAATGCACTATCCCAGCTATTAGTCGAGGCAATCAAATTATCAGGTAAAAGAGCTATTATATCTCAAGGTTGGGGTGGTCTCAGTTTGGAAGAAACACCTAACTCAATAGAAGGCTCATCATCATCAATGATTTATTTATTAAAGAAACCAATTGATCATAGCTGGTTATTTAAAAAAGTATCATTGGTTATTCATCATGGTGGAGCTGGTACAACAGCTGCAGGTTTATATGCCAGCAAACCAACTATTATCATTCCATTCTTTGGTGATCAATTCTTTTGGGGTGAAAGAATTAAAGAAACAGGTATAGGTACAGCAATATCATTCGATCAATTAAACGCAAAACAACTATCATCAACTATTATATCAGTTCTAAATGACTCTTCAATAGTTGGTAGAGTTTCTAAAATTTCTAAACTTTTAGAAAAAGAAGATGGTATTCAAGAGGCTATTAATTTTATTCATCGTCATTTACCTTTTAGCTTTATTCCACCACGTGAATTACCATTCTCATCAGCCCCCAATGCATGTATGGATTGTAAACAGCCTTTTAGTTTATTACATGTAATGAAGATTAGAACTCATTGTCATAACTGTGGAAAAATTTTTTGCGAAAACTGCGCCAATCATAAAATTCCAATTAAAAAATTTAGAATCAATACTCCTGTTAGAGTATGCACAGCCTGCTATAACCAAATTCAATCAACCCAAAATATCAATCCTTTTATTGTAAATAATGATTAAAACAAATAATAGTAATAATAAAAAATAATAAATAATACATATGCATGGTTAAAAACAACAATTTTCGACCCAAAAAAAAAATTGCCAAATTATTTAAATTTTTTTTTTTTTTTTTAAATTTTAATTTTTTTTATTATTTTTAAATTTTAATTTTCATTTTTTTTTAAATATTTTAAAATTTATATAACAATGTCAAGATATGGCAATCATGGAGTGGTAGATAATGATATAGAATATGGAAATGCACATATAGCACTTTTACAACAATTTATAAAATGTAGATATATTCAGGGTAAAGTTTTAACAGCGATGGTGAATGAAATAAACAGGATTCATCATCATAAATATACACCCATCGAATATGTAAACACAATCAACCAATATATTGCAGACTATAGTATGAAAATTCGACAAATTAAAAACAATGAAAGTTTTGATTTTGCAATTGTAAATTTAAAGTCTGATGAATTATCCAAGTTAGCATCAAATTATTCAAACGAAGCAATATCCTTTTTTAGAAACATTGTACAATCCTTAATTCCCAATTTACTTTTTAAATAATAATAATAATAACACTAACCTTTTATTTATTTATTTTTATAGTTCAATAAAATTTTAGAATCTAAAGGTGGAATTAAAAGAAGTGAAGCCTTTGAATTATCAAGAGGTTTAAAAATTAATGACCCAGATCTTCAATTGCAATCATTTATAGAAGATGGTTGGTTTAGATTTTCAGAATCAAGATATTTAACTTTTTCCAATAGAGCTTTAATGGACTTAGAACCATTACTTCGTGATCTAAATGAATGTTCATTGTGTCACTCCAAATTATTAATAGTTAAGGTAATATAAAATTATAATCATACCTTATTTTTAAATTTTAAAAACTAACAAAACATCATTTTACTTTAGGATGAATTTATAAAATGCCCAAATAATGAATGTGATACCTTAATGCATAACTATTGTGCAAGAAGATGGTTTGAAAGTCATAAAAACATCTGTCCAAATTGTAAAAATAGAATATAAAGTTATAGCCATTCAATCTAAAAAATAAAACAAAATAAATGTAAATAATTAACTATAAATTAAACAAATAAAATTTTTATTTTTTTAATTTTTATAATTTTTTTTTTTTTAAAGAATTTAAATTTTAAATTCTAATACAAATACTATTTTCATTTTTATAAACTTTGTATTATTTTATTATTATTATTATTATTATATATATTAATTTTTACTATGTTGATTTTTTGAAGGGGTAAAATTGCACAATAAAAATTAATTTATTTACACTCTCTATTTACATTATTGATAAAATAGTTGTATGACTATACTATTATAATACTATAATTATTATTATTATTGTTGTTGTTGCTATTACTACAATTATTATTACAAAAAAATTATTTAATTTTGAATAGTATTATTATTATTATTATTATTATTATTAATACTATTTTCATCTAAAATTTGTTTAAAATAATTAAATTCTATACTATTTAGATTTTCATTTCCTTGTTTAAAATGAATTACCTTTAAAGAGTCACCTTCATAAGATTGAAATTGTAGAATAGCTTCGGTCGCTGAATCTAAAAACTCTTCACCATTATAACCAATCCATAGATAAATGCCTTCAAATGTTCGAAGAATGTAACATGAGTTGGAATCAAAGGATAAATAACTTTCCATTGGTTTTATATGCTTTGGTAAAATAAAATCCCCTTTAATATGCTTCATTATATAGAGAGATGGCAATGTTTGAATTAAACCATTTTCTTTTAAACCATCTAAATGCTTATATTTGCCACCATTACTTTTATTTGCATCATCTATACTATTATTACTATTATTATTAATACTATTATTACTTAAATTTAAACCATTTATGCTATTATTTAATGGTTTTATTCTACTACTGTTGCTGTTGCTGCTGCTGTTGCTGTTGCTGTTGATATTATTACTACCATTGGCAAATTTATTTTTATTTGCTTTAAACCAATAATCTTGCCAATCAATAAGCTGTAAAAGAAAACTAAGATTTGGATAGCTAATATCTCTAACTGATGTGGTGAATTCTAAAGCAGTTTCCCAATTCCATTTGTTCCTCCACATTAAATATAACAAAACAAAAGTACAACTTCTAGATACCCCACGGTAGCAATGGATATAAAGTTTCCCATTATCTTGTATTACAGTATTAAAAAAATCTATAATATGATTAAAGTAACATCTAATATCTTCTTCATTTCGGTCACGAAGATACAGTGTTTTATATTTGAAATCGACTGGGAAATGGTTTTCGCAAGTATCACCGGCACAGTTTAAGATGTGTGTAATTCCAACCTGTTTAAGATAATCCATATTTGCTGCTGGCGTTTTACTTCCATAATAAATGGTTTCATCAATTTGACTAATAACATATTCAAAACTTTTATTGTTATCAGGGGCAATTGGTTTTGGAACTGAAATTTTTAAAGGTGATAATAGTAATTTTCCTTTTTTAGCAACAGGAGGAGGATTTCTTGGTGATAATGGGGCAGTATTTATCCGAGGAGATAAAGGTACTACAGCAGTATTATTGGTTACTCTAGGTGACAATGGAACAACACTTGTTAATCGAGGAGATATTGGTACTGCAATAGACATTCGGGGTGATATTGGAACTGCATTAGCTAGACGTGGTGAAATTGGGATATTTGATAATCGAGGTGAAATAGGAATATTTGACATTCTGGGTGATAAATTTGGAAATGTGGTTAAAAGTGATGTTGATGGTGTATTTGTTGGTAATTTTATCTTAAAAGAATTATGTGCTGTTAATGAAGGTACTGTTGAACTATTATTATTATTATTATTATTCGTAATGGTAGTTGGTAAAAATGGTATTGTCGAGCTAAATGTAGAAAGTGGTGATAAAACTATACTACTATTTAAATTATTTTGATTGATATTATTAATATTATTACCATTACTAATATTATTACTATTATTATTATTATTATTGTTATTGTTATTGTTATTATTATTATTATTACCTCCACTATTCTGTATTTGCATAGGAATTGTTTGATTTATTGAATTATTCATTATATTATTATTGTTTATTAACGATAGTGGTAATAAGGGCAGCAGGAAATTTTTCCTTTTATTATTACTTGTATTTTCCTCTATATTATCTTTTTCCCCATCATTATTACTATTAAAATTATTTATATTATTAACACCAAATACCATAAAACCCTATATAAAAAACTTTTATTAGAAATTATTTTCTTTTTTTATTTGATTTTTTTTAAAAACTATACCTTTTCATAATCATCATTTATATTTTTAATAGTATTATCTAAATTTATATGATTATTATTATTATTACTATTGTTATTATTATTATTATTATTATTATTATTATTGTTATTATTATTACTATTTATATTATTATTTATATTACTATTGTTATTATTATTTGGTATCATTGATTCGAAATTATATTTTTGATCTTCTTTGATTTCTGTTGAATTATTCATAAAACTATTGTTAAATATTATCATTTATATAAATAAACAGAAACTATAAAATTTAAAAAGTATTAATATTTTAAAATAGATAATCATAAATTATAGGTAGGGCACATACATTTAAAATAGATAATCATAAATTATAGGTAGGGCACATACATTTAAAATTTAAAAATAAAAAAAATAAAAATAAATATAAAAAAAATACAATTAAATTTAAAAATTGATGTTCATTGTTTTTATAACCAACATCCCTATAAATCTAGAATTTTTCTTTCTATTTTTTTTTTTTAAATCAAATATATCAAAAAAAAAAAAAATTTATTTTTCTTTGTTATTTGAAAAAAAAAATTTTATATTTCTTTTTTTTTTTTTATTTTTTTTTTTTTTTATTTTTTTTTTTTTTACCAAATATAAACTAAGAAGAGAGTAATGATTATATAAAAAAAAAAAGTATATATTTGTAAAATATGAATATATATGTAAATATAAATATAAATGTAAAATATATTTGATGTTATACCAATTAAAAAACAATGTTTTGTTTTCTTTTTTTATGTTATTTACTATAAATGTGTGTGTTGTTATGTTGTGTGTGAATATGTGTTTATAAATTATATTTTGTTTTTTTTTTTTTTTTTTTTTTTTCAATATTTTTTTAATTATTTTAAAATAATTTTTTTAAATTTTTTTTTTAATTTGGTATTTTTTTTTTTTTAAATTAAATCTATAATGAACGCACAACACCCTAACCAAAAAAAAACACCATAATTAACCCCCATATTGCAGTGTGTGAATTTTTTTTTTTTTTTTTTAAAAAAAAAAAATTGAAAAATAAATTGAATATATATCACAACAACACAATTAATGGGGGTATTTTGGAAATTTGTTTGGCTAGAGCAGTGTTTTTTTAATTTTTTTTTAATTTTTTTTTTATAATGGAGGTATACCAACAATAATTAATTAATATGGAGTTGTTGTGTTAATCATAATCAAAAAGAAAAAATAAAAAAAAAAACACACAAAACTCAACCCTAACACAAACTCTCAACACACACTAGTATATAAAAGGAGAGTAGTTAAAATTAATATTATTAAAAAAAAAAAAAAATATTAATTATAATAAAAAAAATAAAAAGTAGAAAAAAAACAAGTTAAAATTTCAATTGAATTGTTTTTGTTTATTTAAATTTAAATATTAAATAATTGTGTATATAATCTACGCTTATTTTATATATCTCTTTCTTATCATAATCTATAAATAACTATAAATATAACTCTCTTTCCTATTTATATTTATTTGATTTTCAAATTTATTTTTGTGATTTAAAAATTATTATCTGTAAATATAATAAAAATAATTATTTATTGTAAAAAAAAACTAATTTTTTTTTTATTTTTTATTTTTTTTTTTATAATAAAATAGTTCATTTCAAAAATTGTGATTGTCAAAATATCTTATAAAAAAATTTAATATCAAAAAAAAAAAAAAATTTTAAAAAAAATATTAAAAATATCTGTAAAACCCAATTTTTAAAATGGCACCAATTTCTATTTTCAATGTTGAACCATCAATAAGAAATCACCACTATAATAGAAATCAATATGCCCAACAATTAAACGATATCGAAAACGACCATATTAACAATATCAACGATGAAGAAGATTATATGGACATTGATGAAGAGGACTTTAGTGAAGGGGAACAACCATTTGTAGATGAAAATAATATAATAAATGAAAAACATAATAAAATCAATAAAATCAATGTGAGAATAAACCAACTTGACCCAATTAAAAATTTTTCACCATCAATTTTTATAAATATTCAAACGGATTTATTAGAATTTCAAATTAAATATTCAAATAAAGATGTTGGTCAATATGTAAGAAATAAATTTGAAAATTTAATAGAAGATACTGATAAAGTTTTATGCGAAAACAATAACAAAAAAAACAATAATAATAATAAAAAGGAAGATTTAAGATCAATTTTTTATATCCAGTATGAAATGTTCAAATTGCAATCATGTATAGCCGGTGACCAAGATGAAACCATCTCTAAAGATATCAGACACTATTACAAGAAAATGTTTTGCAAACAAGATTCCATAGAATCATCCTCACTATACACCTTTTTGCATTTATTGAAACTATATATAAGTTTTTTAACAACAGTAATCAAAAATCAAATAAATTAAGAAATATGGGTGTAAATATCAGAGCTTGTCTATAGTACTAGTACTGTTTTTGTAAATTTTCAAATCTAAAAAAAAAAAAAAAAAAAAAAAAAAAAAAAAGAAGAGGGGGGGTCTTTGTTATTATTAAAGTATATATGAAAAATTAATAATACAATTTAAATAAATAAATAAATAATATAAAATAAAATAAAACCTAATTAAATAAATAAAAATAAGAAATAAAAAATATTTTTTTTAAAAAAATTAAATAACTATTACTTTTTTTTTTTTGTTTATTTATTTATTTTAAATTTTTTTTTAAAAAATAGAATCTTAATTCTATTTTATATTTTAATTTTGACAATTGTTAAAATTAAAATTATTTTTGTTTCTTTCTTTTTTTATTTCTTTTTTATTTTTTTATTTTTTATTTTTAATTTTTTATTTTTAATTTTTTATTTTTTATTTTTTATTTTTTATTTTTTTATTTAATTAAATTCTGATTACATTTTCATTTTCTACTATAACATTTTTAATTGCTAAATCTATAAATTCCATATATTGATCTAACTCTGGGCTGTTGTTATTTAAATCTTGATTTTTCATTATTAATTCCTCTACTTTACAAAAATTTGATTTTGCATTTTCTAATAACATTAGATTTTGATTTGATTTTAAAATTTTTTGAAATACAATTGAATTTATTTCAATCTTTAATAATTTATGCTTTATATGGGTACTGTTACATAATGTGCATAGTAATTGATGGCAATCAGTACATATAATTTCATATTTCTTTCCACTGTTACAAACACAACTTTCTAAAATATACTCTTTTTCATTTTGATTGTTTTCTATGTAACCACTGGGGGCTTTGATGATATTATTTTCGGAATTATCGCTTTCACTATCAGGTTTTAAATTTATTGTTATACTGGTTTTTTTAGGACTTGTACTGCAATTATCGGAGATATTGTTATTATTATTTGATTTATTATCTGATTTATTATCTGAAGCATTATTACTATTAAAACATCTATTATAGCAATAGTTTATAATATTGTTCATTATTATTATTTATCTAAACACTATTATTAAAAAAAAACTTTAATTTTAAAAGAAATGAAAAAAAAAAAAAATGTTTTAATTTTATAAAAAAAAAAAAAGCTTTTAAAAAACTATAATACTAAAGTTTAGATGAGGTAATTTTAATAATAATAAAAATAACAATTAATATGAGCAATAATAATGATATTAAATAATAAATAAATAAATAAATTAAAAAAAAAAAAAAAAGAAAAAAAAAAAAAAGTGGGTTTTTTTTTGCTAACCAACAACAAATCCACTTTTTTTTGTTTTGTTTTTTTATTTGTTTTTTTATTTTAATTATTTATTTTAATTATTTATTTATATTTATATTTTTTTTATTGGGGCATAAATAAAAAAAAAAAGGATAGGAAGATAAACTGGTAACCATCCAACGTTTTTTTTTTTTTTTTTTTTTTTTTTTTTTTTTACTTCTAAAAACACACATAAAAACACATATAAAATAGCAATTATAACTACAATTTATACCAAATTAATCATAGAGGGGGGGGGGGTTGTATTTATTTTATTTTTATTTTTCAAATTTTTTTTTTTTTTATTTGTAATACAGTTAGTGTATTAAAAAAAAAATAAAAAAAAATTACATATAATTATCTTTTAAAACAACAGAAATAAAATTTGTAGTTTTAATAATTTAACAATATATAAAATAAATAAAAATAATAATAATAATAATAATAATAAATACCTACATTTAAATAAACCAACAACAATGAGTAAAACTATAAATGTATGTTTATTGGGTGATATAGAATCAAATCAATCTGATTTAATTAGAATATTTACAAATTCACTCTGTGATTGGTATAATGATGATACAATGGAAATTAATAAATCTTATAAATATATTTATTATAAAAGGGAATACAACTTTATATTAAGTGATACTGGTAACTAAAATACACCCAAATTATAATAAAAATAATACCCAACAAAATTTTATTAAATTTTTATTTTTTTAATTCTTAATTTTTATTTTTAGATATTTCAAATAAAAACTATTTAGGTAATATAATATTTCTATTTTTATTCATTTCTTTGTTATTTTAATATTATTATTAACAATTATTATAATACTAACCATTATAACTATTATTTATTCCTATTATTACTATTAATCTGTAAATTATCTATAGATACAATTCGACAAAGTGATGCATTTATTCTAACGTTTTCGTTAACAACTAAAAAGACTGGGGAAAATATCGAATATTATTATAATTTAATAAATGAAAATAGAAATAAAAAAGTACCGATTATTTTAATTGGGATATCAAACGAGTTTGGAAGATTCGAATTTAATATTGCCGATATACAAAGAATGAAACAAAAGTTAGGTATACCTTATACAACAACTTTTCAAAATGATTCAAACTCCATCACATCGGCATTTCATTTATTAATAGAAACAATAGAAGAATTTGAAAATAGGGAATTAAACAAAAGAAAAAAAATAGAAAGCAATATGCAATCGTTATCGTTATCACAATCACAATCACCAACTGAAGCCAAAATAGGAATACACGGAATAACATACACAAATAGTAATAAAAGCAGCTTTTTTAAAAAATTAAAAACCAATTTTGGGCTAAAAAAACACCTACACAATACACACACATAAATAATTTGATATAATTAATAAAGAAAAATAGTAACAATAATAACAAAAAAAGAAAATGTGTTTGTTTTTTTTTATTTTAAATAGGGCCTAAAGATATATATATTTAGCCTTCGGCTCTAACCAAAATATTTTTTTTTTTTTTATTTTTTTTTTTTTTTTAATTTTATTTTTTAATTATTTTATTATTTAATTTTTTTTTTTTTCTTTTTTTTTTTTTTTTTATGGGGAATCTTTGTTTTACAAATATAACAATATTATTACATTGTTAGTACAATCATTCGAGATTATTTGAATATAAATAATTTTTTTTTTATTAATAGAAAAAGATATAATCTCTACATTTTTTTTTTTTTTTAATTTTAATTTAATTTTTTTTTTTTTTAAATTAATTTTTTAATTTTTAATTTTTTAATTTCATTTCCCCCTTTTTTTTTATTATTACTATCAAATCTAAAAAATAATAAATAGTAATAAAAATAAATAAATAATATAAAAGTAAGTATTGTTTGTTCATTTTTCGCATTTTTTTGTAATCGTTTTTTTATTTTTTTTATTTTTTTTGAAGAGGCGTCCAGTATCCGTGCGTAATTTACGAAAAAAAAAAAAAGATTAATTTTTTTAAAAAAAAAAAAAATGTAAAGAAATAATTAATTAACTCTTTTTTTTATTAAAGGTATATATATATTTCAAATAAAAAGATGGCAATTCAACATTTTTATAGAAAACCAGCTCTTTCAGAGTATCAAGTTCAATTATTAAAAGAAAATTTAAAAAAACAATATAATATTTCAATAGAATCAATCGAAACTGAATATTGTTTTAATGTTGAATATAGCGATAATTATAAATTAAATGAACAAGAACTAAAAACATTGGTATGGTTGTTATCAGAAACATTCGAACCAGAGAACTTTTCAATAAATGTTTCATTTTTAGACAATATAAATAATAATAAACACAGTGGTAATGGTCAAATTGTCGAAGTTGGTCCACGTATGAATTTTACAACAACCTATTCAACTAATGCTACTTCAATTTGCCAATCATGTAATTTAAGTGCTGTCAAAAGAATTGAACGTTCAAGACGTTATTTAATTAGAACTATAAGTGATTCAGGTAAAATGGATGAAGCTCAATTACAACAATTCATCGACTCTATTCACGACAAAATGACAGAATGTTACTATGGTGCCCCAATTGAATCTTTTGATACCGGTATAACCCCAAAGCCTTTTACTCATATCCCAGTCATGGAGGAAGGCCGTGCTGCTTTAGAAAGAATTAATGTTGAAATGGGTTTGGCTTTTGATGACCAAGATTTAGCTCTTTACACCGATCTTTTCCAAAATTATTTAAAACGTAATCCAAGTGATGTTGAATGCTTTGATATTGGTCAATCAAATAGTGAACATTCAAGGTAATATTTTTTTATTTAATCTTTATTATTAATTTTATAAATATTAATTTTTTTTTATATTTTTTTTATTTTAAAATTATTTTTAGACATTGGTTTTTTAATGGTAATTTAATTATTGATGGTAAAAAATCAGATAAAACATTATTCCAAATTGTTAAAGATACATTAAAAGCAAATCCACAAAACTCATTAATTGCATTTTCAGATAATTCAAGTAGTATTAAAGGTTTTGAAACTAAAGTTTTAGTACCAAAATCACCAGTTCAAGCATCTGAATACATTGAAGGCCAAAGAGATCAACCAATTATTTTCACAGCTGAAACACATAATTTCCCATCAGGTGTTGCACCATTCCCAGGAGCTGAAACAGGTACTGGTGGTAGACTCAGAGATACACATGCTACAGGTAGAGGTTCATTAGTTGTTGCAGGTACAGTTGGTTATTGTGTTGGTAATTTAAATATTCCAGGTTACGAATTACCATGGGAAGATAAAAACTATCAATACCCATTCAATTTAGCTACCCCATTGAAAATTGAAATTGAGGCCTCAAATGGTGCTTCAGATTATGGTAACAAATTTGGTGAACCAGTTATTATTGGTTTCACCCGTTCATATGGTAACACTTTACCAAATGGTGAAAGAAGAGAATGGATCAAGCCAATCATGTTTTCAGGTGGTATCGGTTTCATGGATTCACGTCATTTAAAGAAAGAGCAACCAGAGGTTGGTATGGTCGTTGTTAAAGCTGGTGGCCCAGCTTATAGAATTGGTATGGGTGGTGGTTCTGCATCATCAATGGTCGGTGGTGACAATAAACAAGAATTAGATTTCTCTGCAGTCCAAAGAGGGGATGCTGAAATGGGTCAAAAATTAAATAGAATTATTAGAGGCTGTGTTGAATCTGAAATCCATGGTCAAAAGAACCCAATTGTTAGTGTCCACGATCAAGGTGCTGGTGGTGCTGGTAATGTTTTAAAGGAAATTGCTGATCCACTTGGTGCTAAAATTTATTTAGATCGTTTCAATTTAGGTGATCCAACATTATCAGCCATGGAAATTTGGGGTGCTGAATATCAAGAACAAGATGCCATTCTCATTAAACAACAAGATAAAGAATATCTCGAAAAAATTTCAAAGAGAGAAAGACTTCCAATTGCTTTTGTTGGTGATGTTACCGGTGATGGTTATGCTCAATTAATTACTAAAGATGGTGAAACCCCAGTTAATTTACCATTAGAAAAAGTTTTACAAAAAATGCCACCAAAAACCTTTATTCTTGAACGTGTTAACAAAACTTTACAACCATTTGCATTACCAAGCGAAATATTACAAAACAAACAATCTGCATTCAATGAATCATTGGATAGAGTATTAAAATTACTTTCAGTTGGTTCAAAACGTTTCCTCATTAATAAAGTTGATAGAGCCGTTACTGGTTTAGTTGCTAGACAACAAGCATGTGGTCCACTTCATTGTCCAGTTTCAAATGTTGCCGTTATTGCATCTAGTTATTTCAGCAAAACCGGTGCTGCTACTTCAATTGGTGAACAACCAATCAAAGGTTTCCTTTCAGCTAAATCAATGGCTTATTTAACTGTTGGTGAAGCTTTAACCAATCTTATGTGGGCAAGTATTACCGATTTAAGTGATGTTAAATGTAGCGGTAATTGGATGTGGGCTGCTAAACTCAAAGGTGAAGGCTCAGAACTTTATGATGCTGCTGTCGAAATGCATGATGCCATGGTAGAACTTGGAATTGCTATCGATGGTGGTAAAGACTCACTTTCAATGGCCGCAAAAGCTCCAAAGATTGATGGTACCCAAGAACTTGTTAAGGCACCAGGAGCTTTAGTAGTTTCAACTTATGTTCCATGTGACGATGTTACTCTTACAATAACTCCAGATCTCAAATTATCATCAGCTGATGACAGTGCTATCATTTATTTAGATTTAGGTTGTGGAAATAATTTCATTGGTGGCTCAGCACTCACTCAAGTCTATAGTCAAATCGGTAATGACCAACCACATCACGATACCAAATTAATTAAAAATACTTTTTGTGCTGTTCAAAAACTCGTCAAATCAAAACTCTTATCAGCAGGTCACGATAGAAGTGATGGTGGTTTAATTACTACCCTCGTTGAAATGTCATTATCAGGTAACAGAGGTATGAATATTGACTTACCAAAAGAATTATGTAATGGTGCCAGTGATACAATGGATATTATTAAATTATTATTCTCTGAAGAATTAGGTGCTGTCATTGAAGTTAAAAAATCAAATGTTAAACAAGTCCAAGAAATTTTACAATCATTTAATGTTCCAAACTATATTATTGGTAATACTGCCTGTGGTAACTCTGCCAATGAAGATCACTTTATTCTCAAAGTTAATGGTCAATTAATTTATGATATTTCATTACCAGAACTCTGCAGAAAATGGGAAGAAACAAGTTATCAATTAGAATTATTACAAGCCAATCCAGCTTTTATTCAAAATGAAATGAAGAATCTTATTAAAAGAGCTGTTGGTAAAGGTAAAGGTCCAAACTATAATATGACTTTTAATATTTCACCAGTTAGTTCAGAATTAGCTTTATTAGCCTCAAAAGCACCAAAAGTTGCAATCATTAGAGAAGAAGGTTCAAATGGTGATAGAGAAATGGCAGCAGCTTTTCATTTTGCAGGTTTCCAATCATATGATGTTGCAATGTCAGATTTATTAAATGGTAATATTATTTTAGATGAAAGATTTAAAGGTGTAGCTTTTGTTGGTGGTTTCAGTTATAGTGATGTTATGGATTCAGCTAAGGGTTGGGCAGGTTCAATTCTTTTCAATCCAACAGTTTCAAAACAATTCGAATCATTCTATCAAAGACCAGATACATTCTCATTAGGTCTTTGCAATGGTTGTCAATTAATGGCCCTTCTTGGTTGGGTTCCATTCAGAGGTATTGAACAAACCAAACAACCACGTTTCATCCACAATGCTTCTGGTCGTTTCGAATCAAGATGGGTTAACGTTAAAATTCTTCAAAGTAATTCAGTTTTATTAAAAGGTATGGAGGGTTCAGTATTAGGTGTTTGGGCTCAACATGGTGAAGGTAAATTATGGTGTGAAGATCAATCAATCATTGACGAAATTAATAAAAACAATTTATCACCAATCCGTTATGTTGATGATAATGGTGAAATCACTGAAAGTTACCCATTCAATCCATCAGGTACCCAAAATGGTATGGGCTCTTTGGTTTCTAAAGACGGTAGACATTTAGCTATGATGCCACATCCAGAACGTTCATTCCTCTCATGGCAATGGCCACACGTGCCAGATAACATTAAACAAAATATTGCTTCAGATGTTAATCAACAAAGTCCATGGATGAAGATTTTCCAAAACGCTAAACAATTTTGTGATTCAAATTAATTAAATAATAATTAATCTTTTTTTTTAAAAAATAATTTTAACTTTAAATAAAATATAAAAAATATAATTTTTTTAATAAAAAAATTGAAAATTGTTTTTTTCTATTTAAAATATTTTATTACTTGTGATTTGTCACTATCATTATAATAAATGATATTAAATTAAATTAAAATGTGATGAAAAAATTTTATCAAAACAAAAATACTGAAATATAAAAAAAGTTTTTAATTAAAAAAAAAATAAATTATAAAATTACAAATTTAGTTTTTATTAAATAGTTTGTGTGGTTGTTAGGGTATATTTAAATATTTGAAATTTAATCTTTTTGTGATTTGGCAGCTCTTTCACCTCCATATAAAATCTTTTTATCTTCGTATTCTTTTTGAACAATATCATCGTGTTTTTGGAAAGCGTTATTTCTAATTTCGTCCATTGGTTTATTTGCATCATTATCTTTTACAATAATTTTACTGCCCCATCTGGTATCTTTTTCTGGGATATCATTCTATAAAAAAAAATATTAGTTAATTTTATATTCACTTGATTATTTTATATCTATGATTTATTCAATAAACTATTATGTTTTTAATTGTTTATTATTTATTTATTTATTTATTAATTTATTTATTATTATAAAAGTTATTTGCTATAACTTGTTATATTTTATTAATGTTTTGATTTACATACTACATAATCAGCATCAGTTTCCCAATCATCATCTTCAACTGTGTTATTGTTTTTATCTAAAGAAGCTGGAGCATGTGAAACAGTTTTTTGGTAAACAGACATGATTATATTTGTTTTTGTAAATGATGAACGGTGTGTGAGAAAATAATAATATGAAAAAAAAAAATCTAATTTTGAAAAAAAAAAAAATTTAAAAAATACAAAAAAAAAATAAAAAAAAAAAAATTTAAATAAAATAAAATAAAAAAATATTTTATAACTACTTTTCCCCATATTATTTTATTTTCACAACAAATCTATTTTGATTCTTATTGCAAAGTTGAAATAAAAAATTGTATATAGTATATTTCATTTTTATTTTATAATCAAAATTAAAGAATTATAAATAATTGTTTAAGACCAGGCAAACACACACAAATATTTTAAAATTTTTACAAGCAGTTTATTTTACATCAGTTTTTATTTTTTACATTAATTTTTTGTAATATTATTTAGGTTAAATGGATTTATACAGGTGATTGGTTATTTTTTTAATTTTTTATATTTATATATTTTTTTCGAATTCTTGACAAGCACTTATTAAACTATCAATAGAGGAAGAGCTACTAGATAAACTACTATTGGAGGAATTTAAAAAGCTTCTGAGTCTTTGGGTTTCGGAGTTGAGGGTATCAAGATAGGTGTAGTAGAATTCTTTGGTTCTTTGATTAAAACAAACATCAGAGAAAATACCATCAAATTTTTTTAATGGTTCCATTGGTTGGTTTAAAATGAAGTCGACTGTCATTTTTGTTTCCATTTTTGTTTCCATTTTGTAAAATTTTATGTATTTTTTAAAAAGTAATAAAAAAAATAATTTATGTATATATATTTTAAAAAAAAAAAATTATTTATTTATTGTTTTTATTTAATTAATTAATAAGTCAAAAAAAAAATAAAAAGTGAAATCCTTTTTATACAAAATTAAAAAACAAAGGCTATCATATAAATCTAAATTAATAATAAAAAAAAAAATAAAAAAAAAAAAAAATAAACAGTTTTTAATTATTAAAGGAATTCAAATGCTGATTGTTAAAACAATGTGAATTTTTTACCACAATAATTATTGGCTAAAAATTTCAATATGAGGATAGGTAATACACATTAAATTATATTCTCACAATTGGTTATTTTTTTTTTTTTTTTCTCAATCACAAATATAAGAGTGCATGTGATTGTTAAAGAGATATAGTTGTTGTATTATTATCCCAATGATTCACAGTTTTTCAATAATATTTTTATTGTTTTAATGAGAGAAAAAAAAAACATAAAAACAGTTTTCAAAGATTATAAATAATATAACAACAACTACAACTCTAAAATGCCGATATTGATACAAAAAACAATAATTATATGTGTAATAAAATGGCAATACTACTACTACTACAACTACAATTACAACTACAGGGTACTAGTAGTACTACCCATATAGTATTGTTTTTTTTTTTTTTTTATATAAAAAGAATGGGGTTATATATCTCAAAGGTGGGTGGGTGTAGAGTTGGTGTGTTTTTTTGTTAAATATTGTTGAAAATGTCGAAAGTGGTTTTGTTGGAGCACACACCTTAATCACCCCACCAAAAAGATTTTTTTTTAAATTTTTTTATTTTTTTTTAATTAATTATACTTTTTTTTTTTTAAATTAATGTATGAAAAAAGGTAATCTTTGTAGATGTTTTGTTTAATTCTTTTTTAATTTCTTTGATAAAAATTATGATTGGGTGAGCATACACAGTTTTAAAAAAAAATAACAACTTTTTTGATTTTAAAGTTGGGTGTGTGTGAAGTTAAATGTTTTTTTTTTTAAATATTTAATTTTTTTTTTTTTTAAAACCTACCCATAAAGACACACAGACACACACTAATTATTTTTTAAATACCCAATATATATATTTATATGGTTAATTTTATTGATTAATTAATATTTGGATTATAAATTCAATTTTTCAAATTGATTTAATTTCTTAAAGAATATTATTCGATCTAATTCCTTTAATAATTTAATTTTAAATCTAAATAATTAAGATAAAATTATAATAATTTTTTTAAAAACAATTGTAAATTTTATAATGTTTTTTTTTTTTTTCTCTTTATTACTAATGTCAAAAGGGGATCTTTCAACTTTTTTTTTTTTTGTTTTTATTAAGTTTTTATTTTTTTTAAAAAAGAATTACCACTACAATAAAAAAATAATAAAAAACCCACTACATTCAATATATATATCTTTTTTTTAATTATTTCTTTTTTTTTTTTTTTTTTGCTCATATTAAATTTTATTTTCGATTTAGGAAAAAACAATAGATTTAAAATTAAATGTTTAAAACAAAATCATCGAATTTATTTAATAAAAGAATAATAATTTAAATATTGTTATATTTTATTTTTTTGGAAGCATTATTTTATTGTCAATATCATATGTATCATGCGTATTCACGTGATTATTGAAACAATAGTTAGGTTTCAGTTTAGTTGTAATTAATTTAATAAATTTTATTTACAAACTATATTTTCAAAAGAAAAAAATTAAAAAAAAAATTAAAAAATTAAAAAAATTAAAAAAAAAAAGATTTTGAAATTAATTATATTTTAGATTTTTAGAAATTAAATTTTCCTAATTTTTCATATTTAATTTTTTAACACACAATATTTCTTTTTTAATAAAAAATATAAAATGTAAAAAAAAAAAAAAAAAAAAAAAATATTATTTTAAAATAATAAAATTTAATTAATATTTAGATACTAATTTTTATTTTTTTATATATTATTATTATAAAAAAAAAATGGAAAAAACACATATACCCCAGCCAATAGAAGAAGAAACCAATTATTGTGGAGAATGTAAATCAATTAAATGTAAACATAGCAAGTATCATGTTTGTCAACTTCATTTAGATTTTAAAGAAAAGATATACCCAAATGAAATAGGAGAGTTTCTAATATTAAATCATGAAGAAACTAAAATTACATCTGTGTGTAATGATAAATGTATTCAAAGTATTGCATCAAAGTATGACGAGCTAAAATCATATTTGGATAATATGAAGTTCTATTATCTTTCTTTAATGCCAAAAGAAAATGGTTTCTTCAATTGTCCAATAGATTTAAAAGATTTCGAAAACTATATGGAAGGTCGACTTATTCCATCAAGCAAAACCAATACTTTAAAAAGGGTTGAAGAATCAATTAAATTTAAATTAAGAAACAATAGGATTTATTTAAATGATAATTTAACTGAATATCAAAAAAAAGAATTATACGGTTTAAAATATACAACTGGTTCTTTCCCATCATTAAATCAGGAGTTTACTGTGTACGAAATTAATAAATCGACCCCAATATTGGGTCCCAATCAATAAAAAAAAAAATAATAAAAGTAATAATTTATATTTTGTAAAATAATTGTAAATATATAAATAATTAAATTATTTTTTGTGTATGTTTATAATTATAAAATTAAAGTTATTTAAAAAGCATAGACTCTATTTGAGAAATTGTCACCTGATGGATCATCATTTGGAATGGTTACATTAGTAGCTATAACAGAGTCACCATTTAATTGGACATATGTTAAAAGTATATTATCGGTGTGGCCAAATTGACCTGGAGCTTGATTAATAATGAACAAAAGGGTAGATCTATCCTTACTTTGGACATATGGGATATAGGAGTAATCTGCTATGTTACCGAGATAGACGGTGTAAAGTGATGGACCGCATGATGAGGTGTCACTGAGAGTAACTCTACAGATATCAAAGTAGCCATTTGGATCTGAGGAGTTTTTGTATTGTTGGTTTAAGAAATAAACATTTCCTGATGGATCGGCAAAGATCATGTAGGTCATATTGAAGTTTGAAATATCGTAGTAGTACTTGGCAGTTTCAGCTGGCTTGGAGAAATCGAATGACATCATGTGGAAGCTACCATTCATATTCAAGTATGCAATGTAGTCAATATTATTGATATAGTCATAACCTTGAATTGTATATGGAGCATATTGAAGATGGGTTAAGTTAAAAAGTTGTACTTGTTGTGTGGAGAATTCAGTAGCCATGAGGAAGTTAGAGTACTCTCCATTAACACTAACTTGAGCTGGAATGGTAGCAGTCTTAAGATCAGCAATATATATAAAACTTTGAATAGCATAGTTATAGCTATAGTCAATAGCTACTTCACTTAATTGAGTGTATTTTGGTGACTATATATTAAATTGTTTTTAATATTACTATATGATATCTTTTAAGCTATGGTTTAATAAACTTACATTTGGAGAGACTGAAATCAAAACAAAGTAATTTGAATTACCGCATAATAAAAGTAACTAAATTTTTATCGATAAAAAAAACAATTTATATTATTAATAATTTTTTTAAATATTGTAATTAAATTTAAAATTAAAGATAAAAAAAACCAAAAAGCATAGATATAAAAATACATACTTCCCCGGTTGTAGTATCTAAAGATAAAATATCATAAACTTGATAGAATAAATTGTGGATAGTGAAATTGTGAATAACATCATAATTAATTGGGTCGAGAACAACTAATTGATTTTGACTATCAGTTGTTGTGGAGACTGAATATAGGTAAGTTGGATTTTGTGAAGACGATGATGATGTTGAGAATGAGGCAACTGAAGCAGCTAATAAAGCAATATGTAAAATAAATAATAAAATTTTATTCATTTTTTTTTAAAATTATTGGTTCTTTTTTAAAATAATCTAAAATTTAAAATTTTTTTATTCCTTTTTATTCCCGTCAAAAATAAAATTATAAAAATAAAAAAAGATTTGTTTCTATATTTTTCTAAAGTAATTTCCTTTGTTTTGAAATATCACACAATTCGAATCTTCCGTCACTATTTTTAAATTAAAAAAAAAATCAATTCAGAAAAATATTTCATCATTTTTTTTTAATCCGAGCTGATTTTTTTTTTTAACGGATATCCAACAATATACAAATTATAATGAAACTAGTTTTTTTGTTTATTATTTTTCCAAAGTATTTTCCTGTGAACATTCATAATTTTAAAAAATATTGAACAATTCAAATTTTTTTTTTTTTTTTTTTTTTAAGTTTATCGACCAAAAATTTTTCTGTTTTAAATGAGGTAATTTTTAAAACAAATAATAACAAAAAAAAAAAAAGAAATGTTGTATGACTATTTTTTTTTATAGTTATTCCTTTTGTATAAAAATTTTAAAAAATCGTCTTCTTGCATTAAGACAGAAATGGTAAATGATCTTTTCAAAAAGCTCTTTATCTTAAGAAATACCCCAATAGAGCCACAGGTAGACAACATCACTATTTGATTTATTTTTGGCATCTAAAAAGGAATATTTGCTTATAAGAGTACCAAAGTTTATTATTAAATGGTGGGAGAATTTTGATACAAATGAACAGTTTCTACATCTTCACTGTTTGGGGAAACCTTTATGATATTTCGAAATAAATTTATGTTTAAAATATTATATTGTTTTTGTTATAATTAATGATAATTTAAGAAATTTTATAAATAATGAAAAAAAATTTTTTTAATTTTTTTTTTATTTTTTTTAATTTTTTTTTATTTTTTTTGATAATTTTTTTGAAAAAATTTTAATTTTTTTATTGTTTATTATTTTCCAAAAAAAAATAAAATAATAATAATCTAAAAATAATTAATATATAAATAAAATGGCATCAATCGAAGATTCAGTTGATATTCCACCAAATCAAACTATATATGTAAATAATTTATATGAAAAAATATCAAAAAAAAGTAAGTACTATTCAGATTTAGAATCAATTCAATTCATTATATTGGTACTAATGGAGTTTTTCTTTTTAATCTTTAGAATTAAGAGAGCATTTATATTCTTTATTTTCAAAATATGGACAAATTTTAGAGATTGAAGCATCAAAATCATTAAAGATGAGAGGACAAGCATTCATTGTATTTAAAGATATAACATCAGCATCCAATGCTCTAAGAGAGATGAATGGATTTAATTTTTTAGATAGACCAATGAAAATTCAATATAGTAAAAATAAATCAGATGCTGTTTCAAAATTAGATGGTACTTATATGGAGAAAAAGAGACAAAGAGAAGAAAACAACGAAAAGAAAATTAATATTAAAAAACAAGATAGAAAAGTTACAGGTGGTCAAAAGAATAAAAATGGTGAAACTTTATCTGTTGGTAATATACCTTCCAATTTACAACCAAGAGATCTTCCACCAAATAAAACTCTTTTTGTTGAAAATTTACCAGATAAATGCGATCCAATGATGCTCGAAATGTTATTTTCACAGTATGTATTACATCTATCATTATAATAATCTATATTATCATTTTTATTCTAAACTCTTTTTCTTTCAATTTAATTAATATTACAGATTTCCAGGTTATAAAGAAGTTCATATGGTAGAAAGTAAAAAAGGTATTGCTTTTGTAGAATTTCAAGATGAAAGTAAATCAGGTCTTGCAATGCAAAGTTTACAACATTTCAAAGTTACTCAAGAAAAACCAATGGTTATTTCATTTGCAAAACAATAAAAAAAAAAAAACAAAAACAAAAAATAATATTACAAACAAACAAACATACAAACAATCTTTTTTTTTTTTTTTTTAATTATTTCTTTTTTATATTTATTTTATACATTAATAATAACAACATATATTATAGCATTAGCAGTAATAGCAACTATACCAAACAGCAACAGCATAAATATTATAAATATATCAGCAATGGGCCGAGAACTATAAATCCGATGATTTCTTAATACATATTATTCGAATAATATTCATCGTTAGCAAAGTTTGTAAAATCATCATCCTAAATAATAAAAAATAATAAAGTAATTTAAAAGTTTAGTATTATTATATAAAAATTTAAATTTTTTTTTGATTTTTTTTGATAAAATATTACCTTTTTTATTTCCTTTAAAAATTCTAAAACTTTATTATTTGTTGAATAAGCTTTTTGTGATTGGAGACTATAAATTACAAATTCATTCTTTTCATTTCTGTAGGTAATTTCCCAAAAATGGCCTGAATGTGAAAACTCTCTAATATCTCTTAATAAAATTGTTTTTATTACAGTCTGAAATTAAAAATAAAATTTATCATTAATACTAGCAATATAATAATAAATATAATTTTTATATACATACTAAACTATTTTTTTCCATTACTTCTAAATATCTATTTGTAATTTTAACAACTACTTTTTGGCTTGAGGTTTCATTACCAACTCCAATACCATACAATACCATAGTTGGAGTGATAAAAGATTTTGAAGTTAAATTATCTGTATCTTTATATAATTTGTTTATATTATTTACTTGTGGATAATAGTTTGAAAAGTTTTTAGATGAATTACTCTTTGTTATTTTAGTAAACATTTTATATTTAGTTTTTATAAATAAAATATATTTTATTTTATATTTAAAATACAATTGGGATAAGAAATATTTAAATTAATTTGTTGATATTTTAAAAAAATTATAAAAAAAAAACTATAAATAAAAAATAATAATTAATATTCAAACAAATAAATAAAAGTTTTAAAATATTAAAAATGGGTAAAAAAGAAATATTTGACAAAAGAAATCCTTTAAAATTTTTTTTTTTTAAAATTAACTTAAATTTAATTCAATTTATTTTAAAGAATTAGTGTTATATGGAAGTATGAAAAACCATTGTAATAAATATAGAAATATAAAAATATATCAAATATTTTTTAAATAAAATTTAAAACCCCCACCACACACCTATCGAGTTTTTTTAATAGAGTGGGGTTTTTTTAAAATAATATTTTTTAAATTTTTATTTTTAAAAATAAAATTAATCCATATAAAATATTATTTTTAATTTATAATCCAAATCTTTTAATCCAAAAGAGTAAATATTATTTTTGCTATAAATGTTTAAGTATTAAAATAAATTTTTTTTTTTTTTTTTGAACAATAAAAAAAAGAAAATATAAAAAAAATAAATGTTTGTGTATCAATATGTAATAATTTAACAACATAAATAATTTTAAATGATTACATATATTTATTTTAATTTCCTTTTTAATCATTATTATTTATTTTGGATTATTATTTCTTTATATAAATTGTGTCTAATTTTTATTAAAATTTGGGTGGTAAATTGAAGAAGAGAAAAAACTTAAATCGAGCAATGGTGGAAGTTCATCATCATTGATTTCATTTTGAATAATAGTATTGGTATTTGGTGTAGTTGGGCTGTTTCTAATGTTGCCGTTGTTGTTTGGATTAGAAAAGTTGCTAAATGAATTTAAATTACTGAATGAGCTAATTGGAGAATGAACACCAAAATCAAAAGAGAAAGATTGGCCCAATACTGGTGGAGATACTATACTCTTTTCTTTTGGGTGTCTAAGATACTCATTACCTGATATTTTTTCATCTTGTTCTGTATTTAATAACTGAGATTGAGACAATGGGTGCTGGGTTTGAATATTTGATTTGGGTGAGGGAATAGATGGTTGTGGTGATGGAATTTTATTAAAACCATTATTATTATTCATATTATTACTATTTATATTATTTATACCATTTATACCATTTATACCATTATAGTTCATTTGATTATTATAGTTATTATAGTTTTTATTATTAATGTTATCATAATTATTATAGTGTGTTTGATAATTATTCACAGTACCATTATTATTATTACTATTATAAACACCGGGTGGAGTAATAGATTTTGAGGGTGAAACAATAGAGGTATTGTTTTGCTGGTTAATTGGAGGAGATTGTGATCTTATAGTGCCACCATTTAATGAATCCATAATATTTAAGAAAGAAACAGATGAAGAAGCTGTAGAATTTGGTGAAAACTGTTGTGGTTGTTTTAAATTATTTGGTGATATGGTTCTATTATATTGATCATTTAAAATGAAATTGTTTGGATCTAATAGCACTTGATTAAAGTTGTGGTCATTAGTTTTTATTGGAGGTGGTGATGGTGATTTAATTACTGGTTGTCGAGCGAAATTGTTGAAAGGTGTTACACTTTGAGGATTTAGGGTTTGGTTTTGATTTTGATTCTGATTATGATTTTGTTGTTGATATTGATACTGGTGTTGTTGTTGATTTTG